GTTTACTGATAAACTGCCCAATTTCGTAAACGTTTGCTTACTAATTTAAAAGTTATAGCATGAAAACTATAACAAGCACAATATGGTTACGAGGTCGTCACATTGACTGACCCTGTTTTGAAAGAGTTTAGAAAGATACAGCCAAATCATGCAGATAATAAGCAATGAAGGTATTGGGAGTAGTCCACATTCCGGCCTGAACAATCTCCTCCAACAGACGTGAAGCCAAAGACATGATGATATGAAAAATTTGATGAGAAGAAACATTATGAAGATGGCAACCTTCTATGGATAAGTCCAATTATGCCAGCCTAACGAGTTGACAAACCCAACTAGTTAACGTGATAGGGGGGAGATCACAGGAAATGGAAGGGTTCCAGAGAATAAAATGACAGGAATGCGAGCTCCAAAAGGAGGCAGTACGTGTCACCATACACCATAAGGAGCAAACCAGACATAGAAGCAGATCAGGATCAGAATGGGAGTACAAATGGAAGGTAAGGAACTGGTAGTGAAAGCCAAACCTCCTTCACGAGCAGCAAAAGTCTTATGTAGGAAGGACCGATCTGAATAAAGGGTGACATAAGAGGAATGGTAGAGCTGCAGGTTAAATTAATGGCATAAATATCTGATCAAGGAGGAGAAGAAAATATGTCTTGAGGGAGAGATGGTAAATGGAACACCTACACAAATGTTCAAAGGGAGGATGGGAAAGAGCATAAATGACCACAATGAGATCCCACTTAGGTAACTCAAAGGAATGTGGAGGATACATAACTTGAAAGGAGCAGAAAAGGAGGGAAATTACAGGGGAAGACAATACCTTATGAAACTTGAAGAAATGGAAGGTGTTCAACAAGGCCACCCAATAGCTAGACACAGTCAAAGTGGAAAATCCTTGGTGATGCATTGGAAAAGATGAAGAATGGAAGGGTGGGAAGGATGGAAACCACATTGAAGAGACCAAAGGCAAAAGGTAGACCAATGCTTTTGGTAAATGGACATGGAAGAAGGTCTGGTGGATCAGGAAAGGAATGATGCAACACATGGAGTCAGTCCCTGGGCTAATACAATGGACTTGACACAAGCCATGCATGAAGGTGGAGCATGGTGACATCAGGATGGACAATGTCCACCTGACATTGATGGAGTAGAGACTGAGACAGAGGTAAGGGTAGGGTAGGTCTGAGCCAAGGTTGGGACAGCCAATATGGAGCCACCAGTAGGACATAGAGTGATTTGGATTAGGGATAGAACTCTGGAGAGGAATCGAATAGGAGGGTGTGCATAGATGTGAAGCCCCTCCAATCTTGACTGGATACATTCACTCCCAGAGATAACAGGTGTGGAATGGGAGTTTGTTTTGTTCTGAATTTCATGCAAATCTACACACGGACAATCTGAGCTAGCCATTCCTAATTTAACAGTGAAAGACTAAAGAGAAGGCAGCTAGTCATCAGCACCCACTGCCAACTCTTGGGATACTCTTTTACCAACGAATAGTGGGATTTACAATCACAATATAATGCCTCCATGGCTGAAGGGGCGAGATTGCAAGTCAAGCACCCTAACCACCTGGCCATGGAATGGGAGACCAAAACGAAAGAAGTTTGGTATTCCAGTGGGTGGCAAAGACATTGATATGAGGAGTTTCCAGCTGAGAACACCCACCCACCAAAAGACCTGAGGATTGAGGGACCACTCCATGGATAGAATCTTATTTGGTTCAGATAACTGATCTGCAACAAGATTCAGGCACTATGAACATAGCAAGCTAAGACCACAATGTGGTGACTGTGGGCCCAGAAAAGGAGATCCAGGGTCTGAAAGCACAGAGACCTGGATTTGGTACCCCCTTGTTTAGTGATATAATTGACAACAGTGGAGTTATCAGAGTGTACCATAACCATCATCCCTCACAGGAGAGGAGGGAAGTGGGATAAAGCTTGACCAATCACCATAAGTTTGAGAATGTTGGTATGGAGAGAAGACTCCTGGACTGACCAGAGACCAGAAAACTCGTAAGAGTCTAAGTAAGCATCCCAACTCTCCAAAGATGCATCTGTGAACAGATGTAAATCTGGACGAGGAGGAGGATGTGGAACCCCCACTGTGGTCTAGTCCGTGTAGAGCCACCAAGCTAGTTCGATCCTGATAATGCAAGGAAGGGTAACTCAGTGGTCCAAAGAATCCAAGGAGAAGTTCCACTGAAGTGAACACTTTTAGCTCGACCCAAAAGACATAGAACCTCTCAAGCTGGAAGAGAATGTGATGAAATGCTGCCACACAGCCAAAACATAGAGTAACCTGGCCCCCACTGGCCCTGGAACCTCTATAGCATCACCTATAACACTGGCATCAGTCAGTCTAGATGCTGGAAAAACGAGGCTAGGAAGGGGGCACTGGGAGGAAGGTAAGGGTCTAGGTGAAGAAGGAGCAGGATGGAAAACAAGCAGGAGGGTGAGATTAACATGTGGCCAGAGAAAACATGGAAGAATGCAATATAGCTACATCAATACAGTATTGCATTGGAAGGAAGCCTGATGCAGATCTTGCAGGGACAAATGGGGGAGATGCACCCCTGCAATTAATGCATCCCTCCCCAACAAGTCCCAACAGCACAGGAGCCAGGTATTAAGGAAAAGGGAAGTGACCAATAAATGAGCCATAGTGGACCAAAGGAAGACCCTGAGCTGATCTGAGAAAAGTTCAGGGAAGCAACAAAAGGCCTCTGACAATAAATGGAGGGAAGACAGGTAACATAAAAGAAAGGGGAGCTTGATTAAAATGAAGTCCCATGAATCGAACACCAAAGGGAATGTAGAGGACCCAATTGCTTAAAATACAAATATGGATTTCAAGCATAATGGTATGCCAAAACATATTGGTCAGACAAATGAGAGGGATAGGGTGTACAGACACCCGACTGAAGTTGGTCATAAAATTCAGAAGGTGGAACATCACCCAATAGGTGAGAGGGAAAACATGTAAAATATCACATACCTGATTAACAATTTGTAAAAAAAGTGGTGGAAGATGTAATCTCCTGAAAAAGTATAGATATTGACTGACCAAAATAAGAATTTGCCAGAAAGAAAAGAAAAAAAAAGAGTCCAAATTGCTTTCACCTTGATGGTATTTATGGTCAGGTTGAATATGAGAAGAAATCACTGACCGAATATATAACTAGCTCCCTGCAAATTAAGGCCTACACTTCCTCTGCAGATGAAGCTGAACCCAAGCCCTGGGAAGTCGTACCATTTGCACTGTTGACTGTCACGGGAATTTCCGTTTCAGAGACCTTGAACATCGAATTTATACTAAGTTCATTTAGAATTTGGGAACATGAAACAAATTTTTAAAAAAATTATCATTCAAACAATTGAAATCAAAGACAGAAAAATAAAAATGTTGAAAAAACAACATTAGAAATGGCCATAAAGCATCATCATAAACTGTAGGCACGCACGAAAAACACATGTAGTGCCAATCAATAAAGCGAGGATTGAGCAGGAATAGCAGAGGGAGCTAGTTGCACTAATATAGGTGACACAATACTATTGGTGGAGAGTAATCACATGATATGTACATATTAAAAAATTGCATAAAATTGATGGGGTATATTGACTGGTGCACTAAGTGCAAAAAATTTTTAGCAATGCTTAGAGGGCAGAAAGAAGTTCAAGATAGCTTTGTGTGAAAGAAAAGTAAGACCACATTAAGAATCAGTTAGAAGAAATTACTGAGAATGACTGATCATGTAAAGATGACAAAAGAAAAAGAAAGAGTAGTGGATTACAGATAATGGTTTATGAAGTTTAAACCATTTATTTTTGTTACAAGTGTTCAGAAATAGCAAAAAGTACAATAAAGAATAAAGCACGCTATATAAAAAAAGGCAAAAGAAACCACACTGTTATAATTATGTCTACATCTTAGAACTTTATGTAAAAAAATTACTGGTAATAAACATAACCTAACATAAAAATAATTTGTTACTAGCAATTAATTGGGGTGTTTACCTGTGAAATATTCAATAAGAAATATTAATATAAAAAGTAAAAACTGTGGAAATTTTCATAAAAATAATTCTAAAGTTGACAACATAGTAAACTCTAATATATTATACACAACTTGCATTCAGTTCTTGGTGGTATGTAGTAACTGAAAAATTACCTCATTTAAAATTTAACACAAAGCCTACCATTGTATAATTTCACTAACTATTTTTCATTTTGTGAAATATGGTAATTTCCACTGATTGTCAATAATATAAAAAAAAGGCAGAATTTTTATTTTGAAACATAATAATATCTTTAACCAGTTTTTCACATCATCAATTAGAAAAAAAAACATATACAACACAGCATTGAAGGACAACAAAGAAGCTTTTGGTCCATTTAGACCAACCTATCCATTAAATTAAACACTAAAAATCTTAAAGCCAACTCTTATATTCAAATATTTATCAAGCTTTTCCTTAAACTTCCTTGAATTAACTGCATCCATTACATCCGAAAGCAACCTGTTCCAACAGCAAATAACCCTGTTAGAAAAGTAAAGCCTTCTTATCTGAAAATGACTATTACACAGTCAAATTCTAAACATCCGAAAGCAACCTGTTCCAACAGCAAATAACCCTGTTAGAAAAGTAAAGCCTTCTTATCTGAAAATGACTATTACACAGTCAAATTCTATAATCCTGTCCCCTTCTCTTACCATTCTCACCATGAAATATGAAATAAGATGATCCACCCAACATCTAAATCATATCCTCTGTATTTATTCTTTTTTCAAGAAAAAACAAGTTCAGATATCCTAACCTATCCTCATATGAAAACCTTTGCATCCCAGGTATCATCCTAGTAACCTCCTCTATACCCTTTCCAACAATTCATATCTCTTCTAAAATACACACTATATATGTGTGTGTGAATTTAGATTTTTGGCAATTCAATTAATTTTGCACAAATTTTACACATAAAATATCAAAAACTTACCTGGTAAAATAATTCTTTTCAAAAAGAAATCAACCCCTAAAGTCTGGCGATACTGTCTATCAAAACATTCCTGGGCAAATCTACTAGCAAGTGATGTCTGAAACAGAGTAACTAAACATTAAATAAAGCCACATTGAAAGTAAAGACATACAGATTTTTAAAAAATCACAATTGTATAAATCACAAAAGTGGCAAGAGAAAAGTTAAGAATGAAAAAGCTGACCTACAATAAATCCAAAGGTATAGTAACATAAATGAAATCCAATAGCTCCAGGTAGAATACCAAGGAAAATAATGATACTTGATAAGATGCTTTTAAGTATCATATTTCTATGTGTGAAATGGGCAATTAGTAGAATTTGCTAATTTATTAACTTTAAGGCTCATTAACTGATTACATTCAACTAATTGACTATTCTTGTGAGACTAAAAAAGGTTATTCTCTCATGGGTTGACTAAAAACAAACTTATAATGATAAAAAACTGGTTTTGATATTTGCAGTGAGCAAAACACAGATACTAACTAAGCTCATTGTATGGTTTTATGCATAACAACACACAAATATTTTAATTACTTAGTTAGAATATACAAAAACAGTAAAAATCGGAACCAATAATTTCAAATAGCTCCATATTTTTGTGAGTCATGAGATTAATTGTTTAAGCTGAACAAACTTAATCAAAAATAATAATAAAAATCATAATGGCAATCTTTTGATTGTTAGATAGTTGGAATAATTGAAAACACTAAGTTTGATTACTCGATTATTTGCATGATACTAATTGATTAAAATATAATTCCAATTACTGGGGAAGGAATCACTAATGATGACTACATATCACCACTCATTTGCCATTATGTTTGTCTTTAAAATATGCAGTAATCCCACACTGATCTTCTATAAATCAAATAAACTGATAATTAAATATTTTTTGTTGTCTTTTAAAATTTGTAGTGCATACTGGAGGGATTTACACATTTTGATAAAAGTTTAGAAAAAATGACCTTTACACTCCAGACAGATATAAAAGAATATATTTTTATTTCAACCAACATTTTGCCTTTGTGGCTTCTTCAGAGTTAATATACACAATTGTTTGATATAGATACTATCCAACAGTTTTGGATGTTAACACTTTCTTGTTCTGTTCATCTGGAGGTCGGGTTGCCGGTTAAATATTATATATATATATATATATGATGTATCACTCTGCTCACATGTGCTTTGTTCATTGATTGGTAGTGGGATTTGTCCTCCCTGTCGACTGAACTTGAGTTGAAGATGGTATGATTCTCCTTCCAACCCCCAGGTGGACTTCAATTCTCAGTGGTTGAGTTTTGAATTGTAATTGCCTTAAGGTCTAATCCTCGTCCCACCCCTGCATGGATGTCAGTTCCCGGCAGTCAAGTTTTGGAAGCAGTTGACTTGCCATGTAGAGTCCATCGTGCCCTAGCCACTCTACACCTTGGGGCACATCGCTTAATTGACCCACATCTTGTTCATAAGGGAGATTGAAATACTTATATGTTGTGGTTCAGATCACTGTCCAACCTGTGTTCTCTCCTATTGGGATGTGCTCCTCACAATTATCTGCCTAGATCTGCCAAACCTTTTCTATGTCTGGGCACAAAATATACCTTGTACGGAAATTGTGTGATTTACAATGTATAATACTCTTATTAGTGGGTTCCCTTGTTAGGGAGTCATGCTTCTACTTTCTCCCTCACATATGGTTCTTCCACCTATTCAATGTGGGATTTTAGCTATATATGTGATCGGAAGTAAGGTACATTTTCAGAAGTTATAATTTTCCTGTAATGAAAATGTATTTCTGACAGGTACTTGCATCTGCTCACACTTCCCACTCTTTCTCCCCACCATCAACCAGTGCTTAAGTTTCTGCCTAAACTCAAGTGATAGTTAGGTATTCATGTGGGTGTGTAACACTTCTGTTGGTGTGGGTTTGTTGCATGGTAATTTAAGCCATGTGAATTGAGGGATGTGTGGGAGAAAAACAATTGTGTCATGAGAAAAAATTTTGCACATAGATGGAAGCACTGAATGAGAATAACTATGTATGTGAATGGAATAAGTACCTATTTAAAATACATTTTCAGTATAGGAAAATTATAACTTCCAATAGATACCTTCTCTCACATACTTCCCACCCTCTGTGGGCCTAATTTCAAAACTGAGGTTCACATAAAGTACTACTCAGGGATCCAGCTGCTCTAGGAGAATGTTGTGCTACTATTGGTGGAGGAATGTTGCATGCTCTATGCATGCTAAATAAGCAGCTGGAAATTGTGAGATATGAAGGCTAGTGTGTCAAGCGAGAAACATTTAAATGAGTTAGAGGGCTGTGGAAGATTAAGAAGAGCTATTATGCAAGCAGAGTTAAGTATCTATCAGAAATCTATTTCAGTGTAAGAAAATGATAACTTGAAAACACCAGATATATGCATAGCACAACACAAGGTACCTATTCTGATTGCATGTTAAAGGTTATGTTAGCTACTAAAACAGCAGAGCTATATACTACTGTATCTTGATTGTTGTGTGCCAATCCTTTTCTTTTGCTGGTGATTGTATATTGCTGCAATCAGTTTCACTTAGCAAAAAAGATGTCCCTGTAATGTGCTATATCCCACTGAAATCAAACAGCCAGAACCACCTAAAACACAGTAATATCCTCGGCATAAAGATATTGAGGAGTAGCACAAGAGAAAAAAGCAGAGCAACCAATGAGTGCACCCACAGTGACTCCCAACAATGGGAAGTGCACTCAAAGCAAATTGAGTGCAAAACCAGGGATGCCCTGAACACATGTGAGAACTTATGTTGATCAGTTCAATACTCAACTTCTGGGAACTGACTTTCATACATGAGTAGGATGATGGATCCCAATCAAAAGCATGAACTGCATTTATGCTGGTACACTACATATGTGAGTACATCATGTTGTTTGGTTCAGCTATAAATCCAACACTCAACCACCGGGAACCAACATCCATGTGGGGAGGGGGGTAGGATGAGGGATCCCAAATGCACATGTGTGAAGACATATAGTAATTGGTTCAGCTCTAAATTCAAAACACAACTGCTGAGAACTGATATCCATGCAGAGGTAGGATGAGGGTTTCCAATAATTATGACAGTGCACTACAAAGCTGCAACATCCCATCAGATAAACCCATGCAGAGATGGAGTGTCCATCTTGTCATCGACACCAACAGAATGCCATAGCCCTACTCTCAACTGAATGGAGTCTTTGTTGTTTCAGAAGGATATCGTCATGGTCCACCACCCCAGCAGCTTGGAACTGGAAAGTGGTAAGGACTCTCTTACTCCATTGGAAGAAACTAGGAGAGGGAGTAAAAAACAGTGGAGTGTTTGGTGGAATGTTCACACCAGAGACAGTGCAATGGGTAACCACAAAACCCTATTTTGAAAGGCAGACCAAACCCGATTTATTCAATCTACAGAATGGCAGGGATAGCAGCAATTCCATTCTGTTTTACCTATGTAGTCCAAGGGTTAGTATGGTCCAGAATGGGCATATTTATGAAGCAAATATATTGTGACAAATAACCTACAAGCAATCTTGTGAAACACTCCATCTCTAATTTATGTGATTTGTAATGAACAGTGTGTTTTGTGGCCAAGGAAATTTTCAAAGTTAAGTTAACAGGGCCTTACAGTGCAGGTTTTGTTTGTACAATTATAAGAGATTGAAGTATACCTGTACAAGCACCACTTGCCACAGAGTGCGATCCAAGTCAAAATATAGGATAGGCCCCTGAAAATAATATATATATAACAAAAGACCTATGGTGCCAAAACAAGCCCGAATGGGAGAGCACCACCATGACAGACAAGATACCAAAATATGTAGATAAGCATTCAAGACGTCAATATTGGTCATCCATAAACCTGGATGAAAAGCCTACGTAAAGGTGAGAAATGACTCCATGGTAAAGCAAGGTAGCACTAAGAAGTGACTGCGGTGGTACAGATCGATCACAGACCAACAATCTTGTTGGGTACCACAAATAGCCTGGAATAAAACCACGGAGAAGGGGGAATGACAGGTTCAATGGCATTCTGAGAGAGAAGATCCTGTACTGGCTCATACAGACTCTGAAAGGTGACAGAATTTTGATGCAATGCAAAAGGAAATGGGTATCTGAAATAATGGAGGAAGAGAAGAGGAAATTGATGACAAGTCCCTAAGAAAAATTTGAAGAATCCAAAGATCCTTGGTGAACTATGGCCATACAGACCAGAACCAACAGGGTAGTCACCGATAATGTTGGTGGCATGATATTCTGCATCAAATAAGATAGCAAAAGAAAGATCCCCTGTAGGAAGGAACAGGTAAAGGATAAGAAGGATTAGGACAGGAAATGGAAATAGGGAATGGTTGAGGCTCAGAGTGAGACATACAATCAACCCAAGAGAAAAGAGTCAATTGTTGTCTCACTGATTCCAAAGTCCCTAAGATAAGTAGGAAGCAAAGGAACTTGGGACAGTAATGAATCTCACTCCAAATGATCCTAATAATAGAGGAACGACATGTGTAAAGAACCAAAGTAGACAAACGTGCCAATGTGGATGTAATAAGAGTGAATGTATCCCCTGAAAAACCACTAGGATTGCAATGGATTACGTTGGAGAAGAGGTGGATGGTAGAAAGGTACTGTAAGATTGATGTGAAGATAAAAGAAAGGCAATAAAATCGTGCATGGGATAAATGAACAGGATAATCAAATGGGTAAAATTGATTCTAAGTGGTAGGCTAAATAAAACAGATCCAAAGCCTGTGGAGGGCAAGGCATGCTAATGCATTCACATAACTGAGAGACAAAATGCTCAGCATGAACCCCAATATCAGGGGAAGGGAAAAACACAAAATAGTGAGAGGAAGGAGCATCATGCAACAAGGAAGGAAGAGGGTTATAGAAAATTGGGAAGAGGGATAAAACAGAATATACCTGTGAAATTATGTCCAAAAAAAGGCCATATTTAGGTCTAGTTGACTCCAAAGTATGAACTTGGGAAGACATGGCAAATTTCTGAGGAGGAAAAAGGCTGC